ACAAGTATATGGTAAAGTATATCAGAAATATGAAATGTTGGGTTTACATATTCTTTAAAACTTTTGAAGTGAAAAAAAATGTCTGTAACAGCACACTGTATGTCATTGCTTGTTTCTGTCTCCCTTTTGTATGTAACTTTGTCTTTTCAAATTAATGAGCCATTGATTGATCAGTATGTTCTATTGTACCTTTAGGGTAGCTATGCTGCCTTGCAGGGTCGGCTGGAGGCCCAACATAGTCACCATGACAAGCTCCTTCTGCAAGGGCTTTGATTACCAGCAATTCTGTTCTGTGGAATCAGCCCACATAGCTATGCACACACATGATATCACATATATCTAATGTCTGATGTGTATAGAGGGCACTCCCTGAACCAAAATTTAGGGAAGCACCACAGAAAAGGACACAGACAAAAAAAAAATCCTTTCTGCATTTTGCTCCAAGATCTCCACTAACGGTTACATGGAGCTTAGGAGAAAATTAAATATTTCCATCTTAGTGTAGTATTAAAATTTTACCCAAGTCCCTGCATTCACTATATCTGGTCTCCCACAGTACACAGAACATGGAAATGCAATTATTTAAGGAAATATAAACTGCTAAATAACTTTTCTCATCAGCAGTTAGAGCAGTCTTGTGACTTCTATCAGTGTTCAGCCAAGCATTGATTAACCACTTGCCTACCAGGCACTTTTACTCCCTTCCTGCCCAGGCCAATTTTCAGCTTTCAGCACTGTTGCACTTTGACAATTGCGCAGTCATGCAACACTGTACCCATATGACATTTTTATCATTGTTTTCAGAAAAGTAGAGCTTTCTTTTTTAGTGGTATTTAATTTTCACTATTTTTTTTTATTTTTTGCACTATAAATGAAAAAAAACGCAAAGAATTTGGAGAATTTTATAATAGAAACAATGAAAAGCTTTTTTTTTTTCCCCAAACAGGTCATTTTTCTCCTTCACTGCTGTGCGTTGATGTGGTGGCACTAGTGGGCATTGATGAGGAGGCACTGATGATGCTGTACTGATAGGCAACACTGGGATAGAAAGATAAATAAACCAAGCACTAGGTGTCAGTGAAGGAAGGGATGGCTAGCAGCTGACATAGGAAGTAAACCTCTAAAACTTCAAGTGGTACATAAACGATAAAAATATGCAGCGCTATGAGATTAAACATAAATGAGTAGATAACAAATACTAAAAAGTCAGATAAGATACGAAGCTTCTAGGTTAACATAACGTATTAACGTGACTTCTGTGATATATTGGCGTCTGGAAGACTGGAATGCTCGTGACTCTTGTGGTAATAAACGGAGAGTAGATTGCACTAACCGGATGCATATGCAAATGAAGCATGGAGTAATTAAGACCTACTCCTAGTACTCTGGAAGTAGGTCACTGGATAGGTAGTTGTCATCTCAAAACTTGCCACTAGGTGTCATCTCCCAGGACAGGCAAAGGCAGGCAATCCACAGACAACAGCAGCAGCCAGGTATTAGCCAGGATATCAGCCAGCAGACGGACAGGATATATATAGCCACCTTCAAAAAAGGCCCGGGCTCCCTCAGTATAAGAAAAGGAGCCACAGGCCAGAAGCTTTGATAGTGTAGCAGGGTTTTTATTGGTATAATAGAAAACATATGTAGAAAACCACTTACAAAGTAAGAATATGTACAGGGCCGTCCAGCAATGGCCATGCAATGAGTGAAGATATCTGGGGGGCACCTCCCTGACGCGTTTCGTGCACTGTGCACGTTCTCAAAAGGGAATATGACACCTAGTGGCAAGTTTTGAGATGACAACTACCTATCCAGTGACCTACTTCCAGAGTACTAGGAGTAGGTCTTAATTACTCCATGCTTCATTTGCATATGCATCCAGTTAGTGCAATCTACTCTCAGTTTATTACCACAAGAGTCACGAGCATTCCAGTCTTCCAGACGCCGATATATCACAGAAGTCACGTTAATACGTTATGTTAACCTAGAAGCTTCATATCTTATCTGACTTTTTAGTATTTGTTATCTACTCATTTATGTTTAATCTTATAGCGCTGCATATTTTTATCGTTTATGATAGGCAACACTGATAGGCACTGACTGACGGCAACTGGCGGCCCTGATGGGTGGCACTGATGGGCTCCACTGCTGGGCACTTTTGGGGCTGTACTGATTATCAGTGCAGATGTGACACTTGCAAGTTATTGGCTGTACTTTCCTCTTGCTGTGACAAGAGGGTGCATCCTGGGAGGACAACATATGACGCCCTCCCAGAACTGGACAACCGCGCTGTAGCCGTCATTCAGCTATACTGCAGTTGTAAAGTTATTAAAACTTGCAGGAGGAGTTCTCATTCTCCCCTGATTGTCCTATGAGGCTGCATAACCCCTGACCCTCTGTCTGAACAGCGCTGACTGGCCCTGTGCTAATCGCAAGGAAAAAAAAAAAAATCTCTAGCAATACACACCAAACTGAGCATGTGCAGCTTGCTCCCAAAGCTCTGTTCTATCATCAGATGGATTGGGGACAGTAGAAGAACGGGAGGATCAGAGAAGACAGGATCACACAGACTTTTTACACAATGCGCAGGATTAACCTCTTAGGTTCCACAGTGAGTATAACAAGTATGCTTTACTGCATATACAGACTGATTTTACAGTTGTGGGTTTAGTAACACTGGAAGTGGAAAGGCTGCCCACATTGCACCGAATAGTGGGTGTGGTTTAAAAAGTCATGAATAACTACAACAGGAACATATTCTGTGTGTGCAGTTGCAAATGGCTGTTGCAGTCCTGATATTTACAAATTTTGCCTTTGGTTAAAGTGGATTTCCAGATGTTTTTTTTTTTTTTGTTTTGTTTTGTTTTTTTTTTTAAAGCACCCTGTGATAGTGGCAGCTTATGCTATGCAATTTGGCATAAACTGCACCTGTAATTGTTTGTGTTCCTATTTTTTTAAAAAGTTACTTACTGCAAGGTTCCATCTTTTTAGTGTGGGCATCTGAAGCCCACTCGGACATTCTTCCGGGAAATGGTGCTGCTGACTACCCAGCAATGCACCTTCTGATCTCACACCTGCACAGTGTGAAGAAGGTGTGGCGCCGTCCTTGTATTGAAGGTTGCCATAGCAATGGCAGTACCAGAGGAAGTTCCCACCCTGTTGCTATGACAACCGTCAATCAATGCAGCAACCCAGAACGGAAGCAAGCCAGCCTTCCATGCTGCCCATTGATTCCTGGTATTGATGAGATATACAGTATATCCCAGGAACCAATGGGTGGGCGGATATGACATACCTCGCTGCGGTAAGGTACATATGAAGTAAAGTACTTCAGCCCAAAACGTTGTTGAAAGAAAAAAAAAGTGCCAAAAATTGATGGGGCAGCAGGAAGAAAGAGATGGAGACAAACTTTAAAAATCAGATGGAACTCCACTTTAAGTTTAGACTCGCGTCTAAACTGCTGCGTTTCTGAAAAATGATCCATATTCAGATTACTGTTCAGAAGACTTCAGCAGGCGGTGAGGAGGCAATAGGAAGCCTTCTTACCTCCTGTTTTAACCCTATAATTGCCACACCATTGTACCGCATCTACTTGCATTGCACACGGTTGTGGGTTGTTTGTGACGCAGCCCTATTTACGTGAATGGCTCATGTTTACCAGTAGTACTGGCCACTGAACGTAACAGGAGCGATAATTTTTGCGAAGCCTCACAACTGCGGCATGTGATCATCCCCATCTTCTGCCTTTGCAGCTTAAGGGTGAGTGCTAAAAACATAGCTCAACAGCACATTTTTAACGCCCCCCCCATCCCAACCACAAGTCTAAACAAGCCCTAAAGAGACACTGTCACTTTACTTATGCAGCCCAATGTGGCAGTGTGTTTGCAAAGGCACCTCTTCACACATCCAGCTTTCTTATAAAAACTTTGCACTTCCTTGATGCTTTTTCCCTAATCGCAGCAGGCACTAAAATCACTGGTGTCTGCAGCAACCAGAGGGAACCGTGACTTTGCTCTCTCAATTCTGGCACAGTGCTTGTGTCTAGCATTTTGCTAGGCTATCTTCGCACATCCTGTAATGACAAATTGCAGAGGGAGGAGCTTCTGGACACTGAGGTCATCTCCCACGCCACAAGTAATGCAGGTGACCCCTAAATTTAAATTTTTTGAAGCACTTTTAATTATCCAACCTTGATCTGCACTATGAGAATTTTTTTCTACTTTGCGGATATCTATGGTTTGATACAGTACCAGAGGTAAAAGTAATGGCTGCTGTTCATTCCTGAATCCCGTATAGGGAGTGTACCATACTGACCACTATACTCTAGGGTCCATCCCTCTGGTAAGCCTTTGATTCAAATCTTGTGGTGGTGGAGGATTTGGCAAATATGAGAGTCTCATGTGATGGAAGATAATTTGGTCTGTGTTCCACTCAAGGCGCACCCTGTCATGTTGACTGACAGTAAGCTTACATGGAGAAAAGGATTGCATTGTATTTATTCTTGGTTCAAAAGTGGTCACACACCCAGAAAAAATAACCCCAAGTATATACAACATTCCTGGTTATAGGAGACATATATTACTATAAAATGTACTAAATGTTTTGTTTTTTTGTTTATTTCTTCCGGAATTGTAAAAAGATTGTTAGGTAGCCATTTTGAATTAAAAAGTGCTTACTGGAGTTCCTCTTTAATGTTTAGACCTCATGCACATTGGCAGTTTGTCTCATACAAATCTTTTTGGGCACCAGGGAGGCATACAGTCTGCTGCCAGCCATCTGATAAAATCAATGATTGCTAAAATACAGGGCAACTGCGTGGGCGGATGCCACGAATGTGAACTTTCTGTGTTTGGGACATAAGTCCCAGTGTGCATGAGCCCTTAGGTTTCTGCTCATCTATGCACATTTTTTTACAGCTTTTACCTAGAGTGGTTTTTTGGTTATATTTACTGTACAGGCATGCCTTTTTATATATGTATATATCTGTTTTTGTTTTCCAGGAATGATTGGACCTGCGGGCTTTCTATTAGCAGCTGGTTACACTGGTTGTAATTACACTCTGGCAGTGGTATTCCTTACACTATCAACCACACTTGGGGGATTGAGTATTGCAGGATACAATATAAATCATTTGGATATTGCACCTTCGTAAGTGTAATATATGTGTATAGGAAAGTTATGTTATTGTAAGCATGTATCATTTGGTTCTATAACTTGCTGCCCAGTATGAGTAACCTATAGATTATGGAGAGCCATAGATGCTGTCTGAGCCTCTTTTGCATGGCTTACAATGATCTTTTATTTGGTATTTGTGAAGTTACAGTATGTGATATCTGTTCAGCTGAAACAATTTGATCTAATGTATGCTCTCTGTTACAGATTTGCAGGACTGCTAATTGGAATCACAAACAGTTTTGCCACAATTCCTGGCATGGTTGGGCCAGTCATTGCCAAGAGTTTAACACATGATGTAAGTGCCATTGGGAAATACTGTGTAGATACTTAGGGTGGTGGCATAATGCTTGCACCACTCTTAAACATGGAAAGTCGATCAGATCCTTTTATTAGGAGCAATCCGTTCCCTGTGGGAGGGAGGAGGAGGGATGTTATCCCTGTAGGCTCTGCTCATGTAGTGTAATCATTGCACAAGCAGAGAGAGGGTTGTAAACTTTGTCAGAACTTTAGCTCTGGAGAAAGAAAAAAAAAAAAAAAAAATCCGTATATAATTTATGAAAACAGGCAGGGATCTGGAATTTAGGAGATTTCCTACTAATTTTCTTAAATCAACTGACAACCCAAGTTCTTTATTTGCGCTAATTTGAAGATGAAATAAAAAGCAATAATATGCAAAAAATATTTATTTTATTAATAAAATCAGTGCAAAATGGTAATTAAAATATAATTGGTGATGGTAAATAATAATCAAATCAAAATAGCAAATCATTTATATAATCAAAAATAATGATTACAAATTCAAACCAGCAAATATTATCTAATATTAATGAAATAAGATGAACTGTCTAAAAATTGCAGCATAGGAAACTCTCAGTAACTCAGCGGAATATGACAAAGGATATGCAAATTGACCATGTGATCTTTCCCTGCACCCAGATATTCAAAGCTCAAAGTTTACACTGCATGAACTAATTTAGAATACCATGCACAGGACTATCCAATAAGCTTAGAATCTATCTGATGTCCAGTAAGTACTAATTTCCAGTAAGTTGTCTATTCTGTTATATATAACCAGCTAAACTATTGACTAGAAGCTGAGGTCAGTTTTGGGAATATTCCAATGAGAATCCCCCCTCCCGAGAATTATTGAAATGAAGATAATTTTTACTGCAGTTAAAATCATTTCAAATCAACTCCGGTGTTAACCATATGAGACTAAATGTCTTAGCTGGAGATATAAGGCGAGCACAAATTGCCTGCAGAAAAATGAAAGTTATGCATTATCAATATAGACTCTGTGGTATAGTGATGTCAGCTTTAGGACCGCTGCCTCTGTGTGTGTCCATCTGTTGTCCCCTGTCCCTCTTTTTCCTTTGTCCTTCTTTCTCCTCCAACTCCTAACTTTTATCACCCAAAAACCTAGGCAAGCAAAGCTTATCTCACCTAATTATGACTAGGTGTCATTTTCTTTAAGAATTGATCCCAATTACCTTAAGGAGGCAGAATAGCGTTAAGAATAATGTTGGATTTTTCCTACAAACTCCTGTGCCATGTCAAGAGTTGACCTCTGACATCCAGCTTGTTAGAAGGTTATACATTTTAAAACGTAGTTGCTCTTTTGAGAGAACTGGTTAGAGAAACTGGGACCAGTGTCACTTTACATAATGTATTACCTAAGTGATTATGAAAAAAAAAAATTTCTATCTAAACATCTTACAGACATTCTCTGAGGTCATTTGTACTGAGATTTCTTAATTATCTAAATTCTTCCGTTTGCATACAGACGTAATATATTAAACTCAAAATAATTATTTGTAATGTTGAAAATATGATATCCAAAATATACACCGATATGTATCCATGATATCTATATTAATTGGTTTTAGCAATTAATACCTATTGCTATATAAGATATTCAAGAGATTGAACATAGTAATATAAAACCTAAATTACTTAATTAGGCAAGTATTCACTTCATATAATAATGATAAAGCAATTGACATTTTTGATTAAAATAATCCTGTCCAATAATAATAAACTCTTTTCCAAATGTTGATGGGGGGGGGGAAAAATCATCGTGAACAGTTCTTTGTCCTATGTTAAATCCCAGATATGGACTCCTCAATTAATCTTGCAAAATGGTACCATGGTCAGTCCTTGTGTCGTGGCTGTCTGGTACAACCATATCCCTCAAATTTACAACCTAGGAAAGTATGCTGTAAAAAACTGAGAATGTCTGATGTTAAAGTCTTTATTTTGAAACCATGAAAATAGAATATAAAGAACAAAATGGCTTTTAGCATGCCCATGTTACGTTATGTAGAGCAAAGTTCAGGCCTTACAGTTTCATTCTGTGAGCACAGCATAGTTCCGACAGCTTTCAACTAACAGTTGACTTCCAATTTGTCAGGACAGACCAGGTGTGAATCTGCAGCAGTCGTCTTTTTGAAATCTGCAGCATTCCCTCTGTTAGGTGCTGAAATAGAAACTGGTGCAAATAGACCTGAAACAGGTGTATCTGCTTTAGGTGATGTGGTACACACCACTTCCAACAGCTTCCTGCACCCTTATACTAGCTTGGTTTTTTCCTGGTTTGTGCAAATGAGATATATTTACCCACCCCAAAGCACCTGCCATGATCTATGGTCTCCAGACATGCCTCCTCTGTACACCCCTCATGTAACTTCACATGTCACTAGTGGCTTTTTCGTCCTGATTTCTGAGTAAATCCTGGCCAGCTGCCATCCCCTAGGTTAGCTGGACATAATGCAGGCTGTACAGGGAGATAAATAAAACTGTGCCCTCAGCAACCAAGTAAATTCACAGAGGAACCTAGGAGGTTGTTGGGTAATAAACACTTTGTGATGTCTGCTGTTAGGAGCCTTGAAAGTTTAAATTCGCTGAAATGTTCATGTTCTAACAATTCCTTCTACAATAAATGTACAAATTTCTCACTTTTCCGGTTTGAATACATTTCTGAGACACATGGCTGTATTTACCATTAAGCAACTACCTAGGGCAATGGGGTTAGATGGGGCTGCACCAAGCATCACAGATTACATACTGTGTTTTATTTCTTCTATTCATCTATGGCTATTTATGGGTAATTCCTGCAAAAGAACTTTAGGGGAGAGGAGGGCTACAAGAGATGTGAAAGTGTTTTCTAAAGGCTATTTTTTTAATAACAAACATGTTCTACTTACCTGCTTTGTGCAGTGGTTTTGCACAGTGCTGCCCCTTGCCTTCTCTTCTGGGGTACCCTACCACTGCTCTCTGCTCCTCTTCTGGGGTACCCTGCCGCCACTCCTCTTCTCTGTGCACCCCCCTAGGAAACTGCTTCCTATAGTGGTGCACTTGCAGGCTCACTCCCGCCCTGGGCTGTGTGCATCCATTGACGCTCACAGCCCTGCCTCATACTCCCTCTTCACAGTATTTGATTAACAGCAGCACCCAATGGCTTCCGCTGCTGCAGTCTCCTAGGAGAAGGGGGAGAGAGAATCAGCTCTGCTGATGTGCGCAGCACTGGATTGATACAAGACTTAGGCAAGTATTTAGGGAGGGGGTGAGAAGGGTTTTTTTTTTTTTTTTTTTACCTTTAATGCAGGTAATACATAAAGGTAAAAAAAATCTTTTGGCATTTAGAACCACTTTAAAGTGATTGTAAAGGCTTAAGGTAAAAAAAAAAAAAACACACCTGTGTGCAGTGGCCCTTCAAGTCCCCCTAATACTCACCTGAGCCCAATCTCAGTCCAGCAATGGCTTTCTTGGGTCTCCCCTCCTTCATTGGCTGAGACACAGCAGTGGGAGCCATTGGCTCCCGTTGCTGTCAATCACATCCTGTGAGGACAGAGCAGGGGTGTGGCTAAGTCTCTCTGCTGTGTCTTATCCCTGGTTCACATATCTGTGTTCCTGTGGGCTGAGTTTTGTGCGGGCACAAGAGCCCATTCATTTGAATGGACTCCCGTGCCCTGGGACACACAAGGAAGAAGTCCCTGCGCTTCTGAAACCGCAGCCCGCACGGGAACCTCGGTTCCCAGTACAGTTGCGATTTCCAGTGCGGGCAGCATGCCATTAAGTTTAATGGCAACCGCCTGCGGGTCTGCATTCTTCTGTGTGGGTGGTGCAGCTGCTCAGATTTTTGTGCGGATCCACAGCGGCACTACCCGCACATATGTGAACCTAGCCTTATGAACTCGGAGAGCAGGGTTCGGGACGAGCACGCACTAGTGCCCCCGTAGCAAATGGCTTGCTGTGGGGGCTCTGCTCATGGGGGAGGAGCCAGAAGTGCCTGCAGGGGACCCGAGAAGAGGACGATAGGGGCTGCTCTGTGCAAAACCACTGCACAGAACAGGTAAGTATGACATGGTTAAAAAAAAAAAAAAAAAAAGTCTTTAATACCACTTTGGCATCACTTTAAGAGATGCCAAATAGCTCTGTATGAGTGAGGAATTTTGCTTATCCTTTCTCTTATTTCTTGGTCTGTAAAAGTGAAAATTAGCTCCCCATATGAAGCAAACAGCAAATGGCTCATTCTAGCTTTAGTTGTCATTATAATAATGACATGACACATATTTAGGAGCTTATATCAAAGGGTGTCTTCATTCAGGTGTGCCTGGAGAAGCCTGGTGATTAAATACAGGCTGCTGACACATCAGTGTATGTTAGAACAGTACATTACAATATTTGAACAGATATCTCTGCTATTGGCAGTAGAGATACTTCAAAGCCTTTGCCCAGAGCACATTTGTGAGATGTTCTAATGTTACTGTGTCATCTGTCTTAATTTTGTTTGATGTGAGGGTTAAGAAAAATAAAAAAATTCAGCCAACAGCAAACAGCAAATGCATAAAAAATCATCTGTTTTCACCACTTTCACATACATTTCTCACATTTCCATACACCCCCAAACCTTATTTTTTTATTTATTTATTTTTTTTTTTTATGCAGAGGCCCTAGAGAATAAAATGTCATGCGATATTGGTGCAGTGGTTTTTGAAAGGCAAAACATTTGGAAAAATTTACGCTTTAATGAATTTTAGTGCAAACAAAGACAATTTAATACCCTATTGTTTGGTAAAATATAAAAGATGACGTTACACTAAGCAGTTTGATACCTAACCTGTCACTCGTTTTAAAATTGCACACACCCATGGAATGGCTATCAACTAAGGTACCTTAAAATCTCCATAGGTGACACTTGAAAAGTCAGCACAGTTTACCAGTTTAGAGTTGCACATGAGGTCTGGTGCTAGAATTATTGCACTCACTCTGACATTCACGGCGATACCTCACATGTGGTGTGCAATCGCCGCTTACATATCCTGTGCAGGACCAATGTTTTGTTAGTTTGTTTATACTGTGTCTATTTTTTTTTATCAACTTTATTGCTATCACATGAACAAAATCCCATGTAATAGCTGGCGCAGTGACAGGTCCTCTTTACCAACAGATCTGGGGTCACTTAGACCCCATATCTCTCCTTTGCCCTCAAAATTATCAGATTAAATCGAGAGAGGTTTTATCAGATGCGTTCACAAGCTGGTAGCGGCCTGTAAACAACAAACCGAAACCAGTAGTGACAAAATACTCATTGCTTTTGGCTTTATAGACCATAAAAATGATTGTGGAACTTTCGTTCATTCCTCATATTTATGGTCAGCCAGTGGAACCGCCAGCTGCAATCCCAGGCTCCCTTGTGGAACTGGGGAAGGGGGACAACTAACCACCACATGTAAGAGTGATCCAGAGGCTATATAGCTGCTTAGATCACTTTTACGTTACAGAGAATCCCCTGCTGAAAAAAAGATACCAGGGCTATGACTGCAGCTGCTCTAATAGAACCTAGAACCACTTAAACCAGAGGACGTCCATTTGGGGCAGTGATTAATCTGGGCTGGGGAAATGGATAAAGGGACTTTTTATATGTAGGCTATAGCGATTCCCGAAACCTGCACAGGGGGGTAGCATTTACTGGATTGATCCCCAGTGTTTTTCCTCTTGCAACAGCTGAAAGCTGGCTTCTCCTTCTCTCCCTTCCCTTGGATTTCAGCTGCTGCAGGAGGATCGACCTGCTTCCAGTGCCACTCATCCCTCTAGGTTCCTTTCTTCTACTGCCCGGGCCCCTAATGCCCCCCTGCAGTTCTGCTGGCTTCCCCTCCTCTCTGGCTGCTGTGGGGGATCATTTCAGATGGGGAGCAGGGGAAGTGGCTGGTAAATAAGTAATTTGCTGGCCCCTTCCCTTTCTGAATGAACATGGTGAGTAATCAGTAGTGGTAGAGAGATAGATCTCCACCTCTCAGAGGTTGCCTACCCCTGGGCTCAAGGCTATCCTCCATATTATACTTTTTCTACAATAACTGAACAGTGATTATAAATCGATATTTACCTTTTTTTTTTTTTTTTTTTTTTTTTTTACTGCATATGTTAAATGGAGAAAAAAAAAAGGTTTAACACATTTTGAGGAGGGATGAAATGGGAAAGGAAGCCTCCCTCAAGGACAATTCCAGCTGTAGACCCTCTATCATCACAGTTCTGAACATTATCAGACTGCATGTATCTGTTTGCTAAATTGTAAGCTTAAACATTAGACTGGTACTGCTTATAAAAAGGAAATGAAAAACAAGTACATATAATGTGTGTTAACTACTTACTGACTCCAGCCTCAATGTTCTCTGAAGAGCATGCGGAGGTCATAGACATCCTATGCATCTTATCCAGATGCTTTCAGCTGGACTGGACAATGATCATTTAAAGCTAAACTCCAGTCTTACCTTCTGTCTTGCTCAGCTGTACAGGTTCCTCTTCTGTAATGAAATTACTTACTATGATGTCATTGCATGCTGTACAGAGGACATCCAGTATCATCTATCGCTTTCCTCCCCAGCCTCCTTGTTCCATCCTTTCATGCATTCATTCATTCAGTGAATTTCAGTTCTCTCATTAATGGAGACTCCGTATCATATGTGGGCATTACCTAGACAAGGCTGTATTTGAATGCAGTTTACCCGTTAATGACCACACACTGACATCCACCATCCATGATCAGCCTGTTTTGTATAGAGAAGCACAGATATGTAATGAAAATGGAACCAGTGAATGCAGAATATAAGCAGATTAAACTTCAAATGTAAATATCTCTAGGTTGTATAGTAAGATCAGATATTCAGCTCATTCACATTTATTCATAGAAGCAGATCTATAGACTAGAAAAATCTGTCAATATGAACTGCAGCATCAAAAGTAAAATATTTCTGTCCATGTTTTGTTTTTTTGGGGTTTTTTTTTTTTTTTTCTTCCTGCAAAGCTTTCAGAATTCCTGGTGATCCTGCTAGACCAGTCAGTCCTGTTACATCCTTTATTTGAATGAAGATGATCACCTCCCTCTGGAATAGTGATAGTATTACCGTTCCATTTTTCATGCCTGCGCTGACCACAGCAATACACAGCAATGCTGTCCTGCATACATGCCCTTTTATGCAAAAAACACATAAGGCAGGAGGAAAGGGTGCTGGGAAATGTAGTTCCAGCATTTCTCCATGCATTATGTAGGAGGTAACATGCAGTGTAGCATCCCCCCTTCTGCAAACAAGATCCAGAACAGGAAAGAAGCCAAAAAATATAGTGTAGTGGCTTATATTTCCCGATCTACTCTATACAACTGACCAAAATCAACCTACTACTAAAAGTCTATCAACACACTGAAAATGTTGTAGACTGCCTTGACCCATTTGGTTTTTTTTGATTGAAAGCTGCTTGAAAATGCCTGTAAACTGGTGTATGTATTCTCAGCATTAGTATTGTTCTATGATTGTAATCACTTGTCATTTTTCCTTTTCATCTACAGAACACTGTGGAACAGTGGCAGATCGTCTTCTACATTGCTGCTGCCATTAACCTATTTGGAGCATTGTTCTTCGCAGCATTTGCTAGTGGGACAATACAAGACTGGGCTGTGAGGACTAATAAAGCCCAGGGAAGCTGAAAACCAGCACTGACACTTTACATACACAAGATGCCTTGAAATGTCATTCATATGGACATTAGTACTTTATACTCAATATTTGTATTACATTTGAAATTCAGGATGCAGCCTTATGACGTTAAAGGGAAGGTATAGTGTATTTTCGGTAAGCATATGGTTTACCTTAAAGTGACACTATATTGTTTAGTGTCACTTTAGAGTAGTTTTTCCTATGACATTGTTTTGCTTTTTTATATTCATGTTGCTGTATTACTGTAGAGATGACATTTACAAAACGAACAGTAAAAAAAGCCATTATATTACAGTGTGAAGCAGGGCCTTTGTATGTCATAAGCAAATATGGCTGCCTCATGTACACATGTGTGTGTGTATGTATACATGTATGTGTGTGTATATGTGTGTATGTATGTGTATATATATATATATATATATATATATATATATATATATATATATATGGAGAGAGTAAGGAAAATAAACATTAACATGTATTGATTCATAATTACCAGTTAATGATAATCAGAATCTACATGTTTCTCTAGAAAAGCCTTGAAATTGCTATACATTCCCTTTTAATAATCCTTTGTGCAATGCAACTATCTCAGGAAGACATGGTCTCAATGAAAGGTGTGGAAACATTTACGTAACGTGAACATGTGTTATGTCAGCATTTCTGCTGGACTTCAGCATTCCACTCTAGTCTTTGTGTGTCTCAGCATTTTCATATTTATTTATGTGTACAGGAGGTTCAGTTTTCTGTTACAAAGCACAGCAACTCCAAGTGTGCCATCCTTGCTTATATCTTCAGTGCCTTAGACGTATTTCATGTGCAATCCATCCAGTATGACAGACTTGTTGAATGATTCATTATTATGTGGTGTAAAAGGGAATGTTATCTGTTGTTAGTTATGCAGTTTAGTCCATAACCATATATAAAAAGCAACCTGATCTCATAAGTTATTCATGTATTGAAACTTTATTTATAATCCACACACGGTTGTGTGTCCATAAAACCAGCCATGACAAACAATTGTGTGTGGCTAAAGTTATGGGACATAGTTAGAAAGAAATGCACACTTTGTTTACATCCATATAAAGCAAATTTGTATGCAAATATTATATATATTTCTTTCAGGAGGTTGAATAATACCAGATATACAGCCTATATACATAACTTGAAACATACGTTTAATTTTAACAGACAATGAAGGCTATGGGAAAATACCTTGTAAGCAGGTGGAGTGTCTCTAACATAATAGATACCCTAGCTGGGCCAAGTTGTGTGCAGTCTTGGTGAAAATGGCAGCTTTATTTGATGACAAAATGCAGCTTTATTTGATGACAAAGTTACAAACAAAATGAAGAAAAGAATTCTCACCCTGGTTTGGCATGTGTTTTCATGGGTCTTTTTCTGGGGTCCTGAGAAGGCTGAGGATACGAATACATTGTACATGCACATCTATGATATGCAGATGTGGGATTCTCATCCTTTCTAGAAAAAGACCTAATGACATCACCCCTGCCTATGTGAGGTTTTTTTTTTTCAAAGTGTGCTTTTGTTTATTTAGGAGGTGGGGGGCTAGCAGTAACCAGAAATTCAGGGAAATTCAGTAAATCTTAACACTTTTCTGGTTCAATGGCCCTTTTTAAAATGGCCTGCACCAAATCAAGGAAAAAAAAAAAACCCTTTCAGTGACTTTACCGACGTGACAAATATAGGTAGTTCTTAATCACCTCACTTTTACAAAGTGGTACTATTAATGCACCAAATTCAATAATAATTAATTTGTTTTGTAGATGACAAAAGTGGAGGTAGTTAAGACTTGCTCTAAGTTGGCGTTCAGAGCCTGGCAGAGTGCCTGTCCCTGTACACATTATGTTTGCCATTGCTAGCCAGTCTGTTACTGGTTGTTAAGGAAACTGTCAGCTTCACAGCTGACAGCCTTCTAGCAGCCAGCAATGCTGCAGTGGATAGAGCTTGATGGGGAAGCTGAGACAATAGTTCCCCATCTGATCCCTTCTTTTCTTGTAATTAAAAGCATCTAGCCAATAGCAGGCTGTCTATTCACTAAGGATTGATGTCAATCACAGGGGGAGCAGACCTTCTAAGGAACTAGTGTCTCTGAATCCCCATTCCAACCTCAAATACAAAACTCCCTGCTGCTGAGCTGTCCGTGCAGAGGCCAGAGTCCCTGTATGGACACTCCAGTCTCTATGCACCTCCACACATAGTGCAAGTGACATATTCATGTACCTGTAGACTGGTACATGAATCTGGGGCACGACTGACATTTGTTTTGTGGAGGCACGTCAGAATTCCAAAGAATTTCTTCATATTTGTTGACTTTTAGCAAACAATCATATAAATACCTTCTTTACTAACATACACTAATACCATAACATGGAACAAACACAATACACTAGTAAAATATTAATAAAGAGCATTTTGTTCAATTTATATTTAAAATCACAATAAGGTTATCACATACTATTGTCATTGTATGAGTGAACCAAAGTGTGTATTTTGCTGTGTGTCTTATGACATTTATCTGCAGAATACTTTTCTGACTAAACTAATACTAAATGCTTATTGTGAACTTGCTCCTTGTCTAATGGAGTAATAAGAGCAAGTTCTGAATTCTTTTCTAACCAAGCCTTGGTCTGCAATTCTCCCACGAGGTGGCAGTGTAATCTTACAGTACATTATAGTGTACCTTTCTGTTCTGCTCTGTAATGGTGTCATTTTGTTCATTAAAAATCTCCACATTCATTTGTACAGTTGCAAATTATTTTTGCTTGAATGTTTTCAGAAAGATGCAGAATGATACTAAAATGTAATAAAAATCTCTAAGATAAATGGTGGATTCATTTTTCATGGTGTTCGGAAGAATTTTAATTTAATTGGAGCCAACCGCAAAAAAAAAAAAAAAACCTGGCAAAACAAGACAGTGATTTAATAATAATGTATAGTGTAGTGTTTGTACACATCACCCTGGCCTACATAGCAGGTTTCTTGTAGCAGTAATGTCTGGTACACACTGAATGTGTTTGTTTTTTTTTTTTACTTTTGGTTCAACTATCAGGCTAATCTGACAGTGGGGACTCCCCAAAATCAATATACTGATCAGCTCTGCAGCTAATTGGCCTCAAGCCACTGATCAAAGAATGTTTTTCCAGCAGAACCATTCGGCAGAAGCCAGTCTAAATGATCAGCTTCGTTCAAAACAGGAGAGCTACACACAGATTGAAAGTTGGATGGTTCAGCATGGACGGCTGATTTTCAATCATGTGTACCCAGCTTTAGGCCTAAACCGCTGAGAGATGATGAAGAAAATGTAATACCTTACTGCCCACCCTGTTAGACTCCCACCTTTTCTATAAAGCTCTCTGGACCACAATGATATCAGTAGCCCTGCATCTTACACTGAGGGGCCCATCTACAAGCCAGAGCAGAGGAGATCACTGAAGCCTGCCAGAGCAAGGAGAAATGTAACCCCTTATTAGAATTAACCCCTCTAGTGTAGGAGGACCCCCACTGAGAGGGTATTTTTTTTTTTATTTGAATCCTGAAGATGGATTTTCAACTATAGCCAACATCTTTTTAATTTTTATAATTTATTTATTATTTTCTTAGCTTTGGTTAGAGTAGGGTAGAACTGTCAAGTTTTACTGCTTTTCGGGGACTCCATTGGATAGATTTCTGCTTCTTTCCTGTCCCGAGGGAAAAACTTTTTACCAGACAGAAAGTAAAGGGCTGCTTTTATTTTTTTTATTTTTATTTGTTAAGTAGAGGGACTGCTAGAACCCCGTCACCATTTTTATCGCTGCCCCAGAACAGATAGTGAGAAAAAAATCTCTCTAAAGATGACCATATTTGGATCAAAATTTGGCCTGTTGAACAGGGACCTGATGAATTTCGATCCATGTGTGGCCACTGCCATTCAACAGACAATCGATCGACTTCAATTTTTTTCAACAGGTCCATTCAACAAAACTATGTATTCTGACAGAGGTGGAATCCTCCCCCCAACTGTCAGAATACAGTGTCACAACATTGAATGTGTGGGTGGGGGCATCGGTTCAATAGCTGGCTGAACAAACAAAAACTGAGCCATGTATGGCCAGCTAGCTTAAACAGTAGGATCAGTAAAACATGCCAGGTTTCTTTTTTTATTGTTATAGCTTTTATTAGTTTTAATTAACATACATTATACAACAATACAACCACCACAACCCTCAATTAACCTCATTCCTTCCTTTACCGCAGACTTCCTCTTCTCTTTCATCTAACTTCTTCCCCTTCTCCTTTCTCTTTCATTCACATTCCTTTAAATTCTGCATAATTCTTAGTTTTATAAATTATCCATTCCTCCCACGTTTTTCTAAATTCTTTGGTTTTATCTTCTCCAATATGATAAAGTTCCTCCATCCTATACACATATTTCACTCTGCTAAACCAATCTTTTATTTTAGGGCTTTCCCTACTCAAAATTGCCAAAATATGCCAAAATTTTGGAATCAACCCTTTAGCTGCATTTATTAAGTGAAATATTAATGTATTCTTATATTGTTTCACCGTGAAGTCTCCTTTATGAAATATACACATCCAAGGGTTATTTGGTATTCTTGTTCCTGTTATCACCTGAATTTGTTGAATTATTCCTTGCCAAAACTTTTGGCTATTAGGGCAATCCCACCATATATGTGCCATGGTTCCTTCAAACCCACATCCCCTCCAACATAGCAGTGAATTTTGTGATCATTGTTTGTGCTACATTCATTGTACAGTACCATCTTACTAGACATTTAGCCCTGGTTCACATATATGCAGCCGTGCGGGCCACGTTTTGCGTGGGCACAAGAGCCCATTCATTGAATGCAGTCCCGTGACATGCAGACAAGAAGTCCGTGAACTTCTGAAAATGCAGCCCGCACGGGAACCTCGGTTCCCAGTACGGTTGAGTTTTCCAGTGCGGGCGGTGTGCCATTAGAATTAATGG